CCCTTGAGGCCAACGAGATGGTCTTTAAGGTCCCTCCTAAATTTAATCGTGGTCAGTTAGGAACCTTGGATTTGAGCCTATTAAGAACACTCCCTGTTCTCTAGAGATCCTCTTCATATACCCAAACTTCAATACTCTTCCCCATTCCCAGATAACAGATGCACACAAAGACATATGCGTACCCACAGCCACTTACATGGGTCTCTGAAGTCTGAGCTCCAGGGAGTAGGGCTCAGCCCTTGCTGGAGCTCCCTGAGCCTTAGGGAGAGCTAGTAGAGGCGGCTGTGGCCAAGGGCTACGTGAACACTTAGAATTCCCTCTCACTCTATTCCCGTGTTCCCCCCACCCCCTCCAACCCCCTCCAAGGGAACTTGGGGTCCCTGGCAAAGGAACCTCAAGGCTTGGCTGAGAGGGCAGTCCATTCCCACCTGTGGGGACCGCAGGCAGTGGCTGAGAGGGAACGCAGGCAGCCGGAGGAAGCGGATGGAGTAGCAGGCTCTAGGGCGGACCCCACACTGGGCTCTTACCAACTTCTGGATGTCCGCCTGGGCCAGAGCCACCAGCAGGGCCAGTGCCAGCGCGGCAAAGTGGCAGAGCCCCATGGTAGGGAGTAAGGACCAGCTCTGGGGGAGAGATGAGCTCCATGTTACAGGCAGGTAAACCAAGGCCCAGATTGCCTGGGGCCACATCAGTAGGTCAGGGGTGAGAGTTGCCACCAAAACCTGCTTCTGTTCTGAACCCTCTGGGTAAGGTCAAGTGGGTATGGGTGCTGGGAGAGATGGGGAGGCAGGTTTGGGGCCCAGGGCTCATGGGGAGTGATGACCTCTTCCCACGGCCCCCTCATCTTTCAGAGTCCTCAGCCCCAGGGCTGCTGTGTAAGGCTGCACAGGGTGTGCACTGTACAACTCCTGGGGCTCCAGTCTCACAGACAATTTGGTGGATGGCACCCCTGGGAATTATGCAATGCTGTAGGCCAACTGACACACCCCCCAAAGGCAGCTGCCTGACAGGAAAGACAGGCTGAGATTGGAAGTCAAGGTATCTTAGAGCCCCAGGCCAAGGAAGTGGGGTAATGGGACATGACCAGAGGTCTGCTGCTCTGCCAGCTTCCTGAAATCTGCTTAGAGAGGAGACAGCAGGGTGGGAACATGCCATTCCTGCCCTCCTCTTGGCTCCCCATACCCACAGAGCTCCCCACAATAGTTTCCCACCCAGCTCAGCCCCAGGCCTTATTCCAACCCCAGCTATAATCCGAATTTTCTTCCATTACGCTCATCCCCAAACTCTAAACCTAGCCCTCTTTCCTGTCCTAATCCTCATCCTCAAGATGCTCATTCTCCTGACAGCATGTGAGAAGGGGTTGGTATTGCTAAGGTGTTCCCCTTGGTTGGGTTGGCTATGCATTCAGGCACCAAAACAGCTCTTCTGGGCGGAGGGTGGGGGAAGAGTTAGGCCATGCGCTGAGAAGCTCTTGGCAAGAGGAGAAAGCCGTTGCTCTTCCATCTTCCAGGATTGCCTAGGCCAGTCACCCATCCCCACTGGGAATCCCTGTGAACCAGTGGGTGGAGTGGCACAGCCAAAGTCAAGGTTGAGGAGAGCTGAAGGAAGGAACAATATGTGGAGCAGGAGCTGAAGGAGGGGTCGGGGGAGTGGAGAGCAGCTCTGGAGGCCTCCCCTCCCCCACCCCCTCAGATGGCCCCCGGGGAGGTGGGGGATGTGAATGCGAGGAAGGTGGGCTGTTGGGGCCAGACAGCCACAGACCCAGGCTGGGTGTGGTGGAAGAAGAAGGGCAGTGGACACTCTGCAGCTCCCTCACAATCCTGGTGCACCCCCAGGAAGAGACACTCCTGCCTCCTCCCAACAGAGCTAGAGGAAAACACAGGGCTACGGCCAAAGAAACTGAAGCAGCACCTTGGCAACCACTCGTGGGCTGGGAGCCTGAGAAGCAGTGTTGCCACTGGGGTAGCCCATCTTCTGCTGGGTGGCTGGGGGCATGGGCCTCCAACAGGAGGGAAGTGGCTTGGGGAGAGGGGGTATTAGGGACCTGTTCCCCTTGTGCTATTGCTCCAAATGCACTGAACACAGAACAAAAAGCCAGGGATAAATGGAAGCAGGAAGGAGTCTGAATAGATTTCAGTAAGTCCTTTGTGTCCTAAAGGGGTCACTGGAACCAGTGAGGAAGGGAGGTTAGGAAGGGTACTACGTAGGTCTCTGAGATCAGATTGGATTGGGGGCAGGTAGGGAGTGCGGTGCTGGGTCTAAGGCAAAGAACTGATTGGCATGACGACAGGAGAACTTGACATCAAGCAGGGCTGTGCAAGGTCATGGCTGGTGTCAGGAACACCTCTTCTCTGTCCCCATGTGGAAAGGATGAGGCAGGGCTGACATACGAATTAACTAAGCTTGGAGAGATAGAAGCAGCCACACTTTTCCCCCAGGGCTGTAGCTGGGGTCCTGACCTGAGGGGAAGTATGCAGAGATATGGGAAAGTCCAGGACAATTCACAGGTGCTGCTGCCTTGCCCAGGTTTAGGTGTGTCCCCACAGGCTTTTGGCTGAGGAGGCCGGGCAGGGCAGCATCAGGACTAGGTGCAAAGGCCTCATCTCTTCTAGTTTATGCTTTTCACCCCTTTCTTTCCTAGTCTTTTCATCCTCTGGGTGGGCTGGGAAAGAGAGAAGGTCTTACTAGAGGGTTACCTTGGCCAGGCCCCGTTAAGATCTTGGGTTGGCGAGGGGAGACCAGCAGGTTGGGGAGTAGGCCAGGCCCCCTTTGACCCTCACTGCCAGCCGCACACAGCCCAGGCAACCAACTTCTGAAATGGTCCCATCCTATGTCCCCTGCCAGCCTGCACCTGACCTTTCGCTTCTAGCCCTCGTTGGCTTCCTGCTCCACGTTCCCTCCCCAGCTCTCACCTGACCTCTCATTCCTAATTGCACCCAGCCTTGCCCCTCCTTGCCCCCTCGTACCTGGCCCAGCCCTCACCCGGCTCCTCAGCTCCGGCCTGTACTTCGCAGCTTCTGGTCCAGCTGGCAGAGCTGGTGGAGAAAGCCTCGGTTGGGGAAGACCCATCGGTGCTGCCTCACGGTGATCACTGCCTGCCGAAGGGACATCTGCTGGTGCAGCATGAGGTAGGCCAGGACCAGTGTGGCGGAGCGGCTCACACCTACCACACAGTGCACCAGGATCTTGGCTGAGGAAGACATTCTGGTGAAAAACCCTTTCCCGCCAGCTGGCCCACCCAGGGACTGGGGTGGGGACCCAAGTTCTTTTCCCTGCTCTACTTTGGGTGTAACAAACCCATTCAACCTTTATGGGCCTCAGTTTCCTGATCTGTCAAATACATAGACCAACACCGATTTTGCCTACCCTTGGGATAGGGTCCAAAGTCCTTAATGTGGCTGCTAAGACCCTCCATGAGCCGGTGCCTGCTGATCCTGCAGCCTCATCTCAGGCTGTACCACCCCAAGCCTCAGCTCTAGAAACATGAGATAACTTTCAGTTCCCTGAAGCTTTCATGGTCTCTGGCCTCCAGCCTTAGCACATGCTATTCCAACTGCCTGTAAAACTTGTCCCCTGCTCTTGGTCTGACTAACATCTACTGCTCATTCGTCAGGGTGCAGCTGAGACATGGCTTCCTCACACAGGTATTCCTGACCCCTCAAGGAATCACTTGAATCACAGAGCAGCTGATCCTTTTCGCCTCTGGCTCAGTGAATACTGTTGTAGAGGGAAATCCCCCTACCTCCCTGATCCTCTGAATTGAGCCCCCTGCCCCTGTGCTCCCATAGCTCATCACATTTGCCCACTCACATAAGTACCACTCATAATACTTTACATTTTGACTGTCTTTTCACCAAATATGTAATAAGTGCCATGAGGGCGGGCACCCTGCTTTGTCTAAGTGTGAATTCTCAGTATCTAGCTCAATACTTGGCACAGAGAAGATAATAAATAGCTGGTGAATAAATGGATGAAGAACAAATGGATATTAAGAAGTGCTATGAGCCATAGTCTTGTCTCTCCCATTACACAGATGAGAAACTGAAGTCCAGAGAGGGCCACTGGCTTGCCAGGGTCAAGTAACAAGGGGCACAGCTCTCACCCAGAATGAACACAAAGTAGGGGTTCAGCTCCCCTCGGGTCCTTTCTTGTACCCTAGGTATTAGGAGTTTTTTCCATTTGAAAGTATTTTGAGACAGAAACCAGCCTTAGTTACCCAAGGCTGAGGGATGCAGAGAACTGTTTTGCTGTTTGGAAGACCTGGCTTCCCAGGGCTGCTCCTAACTCGCAGCATGGCCTTGCATTCTAGGCCTGTTTCCCTATCTGTGAAACAGCGTGGTTGGATAAATCACTGGAGTACAGAGCAGAGGAGTTTTAAAAACCTGATGGCTTTTTAAAAACTAAGGATGGGAGGGCACTGATGTTTGAAGGGAAACTGGACATCCCCCCATGACTGAGCAGGACGGGATATGAGATCAGACCCCAAGTCCTACCCCCAGGTGTGCTGAGGGCACGGTGAATGAAGTCGGCTGCAGAGGAGAAGTAGGCACTGATGTCGAAATCAGGGAGGTCGTGGGCTGGCACCCCCAGATAGCTCACACTGCTGCCGTAGAAGTCAGGGCCACCCTGACAGTAGAGGCCCCCATGGGCGGCGTTCAGCACGTGGGTGATGCCCAGCTTCCATAGCTCAAAGCGGTTATTTGCTGTGGCCCTGGGGAGGGGAAGAAGGTGCTGGCTGAGCCATGGGGTCCAGAAAGGAAGCTTTGTCAGTTTCTCTACTTCAGACAGATGGAGCCATTAGGGTCCAAGGGAACTGGAAGGAACACAGCAAGCTTGAGCTCACAGCCCCACCCTCAGAGCTTTGTGGTGGGAGAGTTGCTGGTATAGGGAGTAATCTTTTCTTCCAGAGGTGATCTGCATCTCCCCCCTCCCCTGCCCCGGCCTGCCCCTTGGCCAGGACAGGAAGGAAAGGATTGCTTCACTCCTGGGACCTGGCTGCCCCTCCCTTCCTGCCCCATGCCTCCCCACAGATTTCTGGCCTTTCCTGGCCACTACTCATACCTGCTTCTACTCTGCGAATGTTTAGAGGTGACACCTTTCCTGATTCACCTTTAGTCAGCCTTCCTCATCCACTCTGTGTCCAGAGGAAGGAGGCTGGGACCAGGAAGATACACTCTCTGGCCACTCCATTTCATACCCCAAATCACCATTCCCCAGGCCTCTGCGGCCCTAACTCAGCGATTGTCTTGGCTGTGCCAGAAGATTCCAGGAACTTCTGGGAGCGCTCCTCTTTAAGGCAGGAAAAACCCGCGCTTCCCCCTGGTGGCCGTATCCGGTCACTGCACTCTTCCCAGAACACAGGGGTCCTGGACAAAGTCCCTGGCTTCGGCTGCTCAGAGCAAAACTATTTCTCCTTATCCCTACTCCTCCCCATCTCTGGTAAAGCACCAAAGAGAACTGTCTCTCCTTGTTCCCACCCTCACACTCCCTCGGCCAGCTACCACTCACACATCTCCTATGTAAAGGTTAGGCCAAACTTCATCCACCCGGTTGCAAGAAGAAATTTTCCCCGCCCTCAGGAGCTCTTCCAGTTCCAGGATGCTGGGGCAAGGTGTGGCTTCAACATCTCCCCTCAGCTCTGGGAGCGAGGCCTCAGCCATGGGCCAGCCCACCCACCCCTCTGTCTCTGCAGTCACTCCTCTCTGCCTCTCCAATGTCATTTCATCCTTCCCAGAGATTGGCAGGGACAGGTGGAACAGGAGGAAGTGACTCAGCAAGTTGCAGCAGCCTCCAGAGAGAACAGGACATTTTCCTCCCAAGTCACCTCCTTAACCCCAGACTCTGTGACCACATGGACTCAAGACATACCTCTATAATTCACTTTACCACTCCATCTCAGTTTCTTCATCTGTAAAGTAAGGATCATTTCATCTTCCTCAAAGAGTTGTGAGGATTAAATGAAACAAAGGATATCCTGTCTCTAACACATGGTAGTTGCTTAAGAAACATTTTTGAACAGGTTTAGAGCCCTGAGTAGGCTATTTGGTTCTGAGGACTGAGTTAGAGATCCAAGGTAGAGAGAAGGTGGTTGGCTCCAAGGTTGAATGATAGAAAAAGCTCTGCAGATTTGGGTGGGAACCATATGGCTGTTGGGTGAGTCTCTGGATTATAGGGCTCAGGGGAAGTTTCCTGAGTTGTAGAGTCAGAAAACTGTGGAGAGGTGGTGTGGAAGACCTCATCTAAGGGGTGCCCACAGGGTACATGGGTGAAGGTTTGAACAATGGTTCTGTAATGAAGATGGCTGATTTCTCAGAAAAGAAGTCTGAAATGGGCATGTATGTCAAAGGGGGAGAAAGGAGATGAGCATTGCCCCACACTTTGTGAAGAGCCCAAAGGTCTTTCATCAGAAACGTTTTTGAGTTGCGAGGGAGATTCTTCTAATTATACGGGCTTTTGTCCCTACAATAGTTACGGAGAAAGGTCTCTATTTGTCCTACCAGAGCTAGTAATTGATAAAAGAGGTGAGATGTCTTGCCCACTCTCAGATAACTTCATGAAGGCCCTGATGGGACTAGGAGTATGAGCTACAGTGGGAAGCTTCTCAGCCATCCCTGGCCTTGAGTCTAGCTTGAGGGTAAAGTCCACACCAGGAAATCTCAGGTAAGGGGTCTGCACTAATATCCACCCTAGAACCTGTCCCCAACCCCATCAGAGCTACTGAAGTCTGCCTTGCACTGCTTGGGGAAGCAAGGCCCAGGAGGGGCTGGGACCCAGGAGGGGCTGGAGCCCAGGTCACAGGTGATTTTGGACTTGGTTTATGACGATGCTAGGCATAGGTCGGGATTTCTTTAAGGGTGGGGTAGTACAGGGGAATGAGAAGAGAACAGGTTGAAGTTAGGCAGATTTGTGTAGGAACACTGGCTTTGGCACATTTAACTGCCGTACCTCTAGCAAGAATCCTGGCTCTGTAGAGTTCGCACAAGGTTTAAGTGAGCTATAAAAATGGCATGTGGCATAGCAACTGTCAGAGTAAAGGGGCAATAAATGAAACAATAATCATTGGATACTGGAGAGGAGCTGGAACCCTCTGAAGGAATTGGAATAATTTCCTCCCGTCCTCAAATCCCATTTACTAATCGCATAGGCCGCGCCCGTTATCAGTTTGCTTTGGGCCTGAGGCATGCGCTCTTGGGTTTTCTCGCTGCGGTTCTCCCGCTCCCATCTTGAGCCCCGCGTCTCTTCCGGTTGTGGCCCCGCCCCAGTCCGCAGGGCTCCGCCTCCCGCCAGGAGGGCCCCGCCTCCCGAAGCAGTTCCGGTTCGGTTTCCGAGTGGCTGCCGGATCCGCGGAGCCCCGGCAGGAGCGATGCCTGCGCGCAGCCGCCACCGACCCCGCCTCCACTCGGGCTCCCCGCCTCGGGCTCCGCCCCCACTGCTCGAGGCGCTGCACTCCGGGGAGGCTCGGAGGGCCCCGGACTCCGACGGCGGCTCGGACGCCGACTCGGAGGTGGGTCCGGCGAGCCCGACTTGGACGGCGGAGGTGAGAGCGACCTGAGGCTGAGGAGAGGGGATTTTGGGGGGCACCTGCAGCCAAGGGTGAGTGGGGTGTCAGGGTCGGCGCCGGGGGCTGCCGAGGACGGGGATCCGGAGGGGCCACGGGAGACGGTTGAGAGAGCCAGGAGAGTCAGCTCTAGAATGGAATCCGAGGGAAATGGAGGTTGTTGAGCCGAGGGCCTGAGGGGGATGACAATGGCCAGAAGCCGAGAGGTAAATAGAGCCTGAGGGGCAAGACGGAGTGGGAACCTGAGGGAGACGTGGCCTTGAAAAAACAAGCGCCTGGGGGTGTTTGAAAGCAGGATGGTGAGAAGATCGAAGAGGTCCCGCGGGAAGGTGGGACCGGAGGAAGAGATGCTTCTGGATTTGGCCGTGGCAACGAGTGATCAGAGAAGCAGGACCAGGGTCGATGTTACCGCGTGGTGACAGAGAGAGGAAACCGATTTGGGACTGACGAGACAGTTGACTAAAGTGGGGGTGGTGGTAAGTAGGGGAAGGATTTAGGTTTGTCTGGAAGCGGGGGGTCTATCGGGTGGGAAGCCGTCTGGCTGGCCCAAAGGACCAGAATATGAGAAATGGAGTCCAAAAAGAAAAGGAGCCCTAATTAGGGGATCCCCTAATTAGGGCTTTGACGTTTTCACAGGTGTCTTTGAAAGCATCGAAGATCACTACGATAATATACTTGGGTTATGAGACTTTCTCTTTTGCAGACAGTGGGTCCTTTTAAAATCTGGGATGGGAGGAGCGGTGTTAAACACTGATTTGCCCAAAAGACTGGGGGAAGTGTGAAAGGGAAGTGATGTTTGGAAAAGACAGAGAAAAGAGTGATTCTGAAAATAAAGATATCTTTGGATTTCTTCTAACTGTATGCTTATTTTTTCTTTGTATTTCTTTTTTAAATTTAAGTTTATTTTAAATACCAGACAAGTTTAGAGCTTAAAAAATATTTAATACATTACCTCTAAATTTAAATAATTAGAAACATGCACTCTTAGGTTTTACAGATACTAAGTATTGATTGTTCCACTTTGACAGCTGGAGTTGATACAAATTTACCACTGAGTAAACATATGCTCAATGCTGGTGTCTGGGTTGAAAGGATACATATAACTATTTGTAAAATCACTACAGTCCAGGAGCCTACCATATCTTCCTCTTACCCATAATTCATGAAAATTGGAAGAGTACTTTTGACAGAGTCGTAGGACCAATATTAGTGCAACTTTGCAGATATCGTATGAATATTTTTAATAGAGTGATCTAGAAAAATAATAGAGGATGGTTGTAGTTGGCAGTTAAGAGAACTGGAGTAGGAGGGCACACAGGTGCTTTTTATAGAAGACATAGTACCAAAACCATAATTGTGCAGAAAAATAATGATTATAATATTTATATTCACTTTAATAGAAATGTTAATTTTCTTTTGTAATTGCTAAATTATAACATGGCTTCTTGAAATCTTTGACGTTAGCCACTTGTCTCATATGTTGTTTTACTTTTACAACTTCTTATCTGGTTGTAAATTTTGCAAAGTTTTTGACCATTTCAAAATAAAGTTTTCATCAAGTATTTCTCTAATTGGGTATCAAGCATTTAATTTTCATGAGAGGATAATTTACTAATTGCTACAAGCTTTTAAGTTTATATGTATAGACTATATATGTCATATCATCAAGTGCTCAGTGGACTAGTAATTAGCTCCTCGAAGAAGAGATGAATTCTTAGCTTTGTTTTTAGTTGTTGTAAAAAGATCAACTCCCTTTTCTTTAACTTACTACAAATGATCTTTAGTTGAAGAAGTTTACATAGTATTTCTATTGTTTATTTATGTTTCAGTTTACCCTCACCAGACTGAGATTCTCTAGAGACCTTGTCTTCATACTTAGCTCTAAATAAAAAGTCTTGGCATGTAAAATTTTTTTGCACTGAACTGCTGAAATACAAGAACTCTCTGTTAAGGTTACATCGTAATGTTACTGCAAAATTAAATTGTTAGATGGCATTGTACAATTAATATATTAGCATGTATAGTAGTTATTTTATTTTTGTTTCCCTTTGACAGTTTTCACAATCACTTAGTTGTAAAAAAAAAATCAGTTTTATGGTAGCGCAGTTTCTCTAAGGCAAGAAAATCTATATTACTCTAGAAGAAACCATCATGACTGTGATGGCAGAACATGCAGACATATTTAGATGAATTAGTTTTGATTTCACTAGCACTCATTTCATTTTGCAAAGATTCTTATATTGAACAATTACTTCTAAGCATTTTTATTTTGTTAATCACTAGAGCCTCAAAGCTTTTTCCAAACTGCCATAGTTTTGCTGATTTAGAGACATTTTCACGATTTTTTGGAGAATTGAAGTTTCAACATTGTTTTTGAGAAATTGTTGAATCACAGATGTTCTAATGACTATCATTATTATTTTGTCTTATAAGAATGACCATATTAGCTAGCTATTCTTTCAAAATTCTTATCTCTAGGCCTGAAGTAACGTTTAGGGTGTACCTAGCACAGCCATTAACATGGATGGAAATCTTCCTGTCTTCATTCTTTATATAGTGGTATATTTTTAGTGAAGTTTGAATTCATTTTTTATTTTAAAACTTTTATATCTTTGGTTCTTTTTGTACATCACACTGACTCATATGATATATGAATACAAATCCACATTCTGCTAAGTTACCAAGAAGCTCTTTTGCAAGATTGTGGTATTAGTAGAAAAACACATCATGAGCTAACTGTAATTCTTTAAATGGATTTAGGTTACAGAGAGGGACTACACTATTGTGCCCAGATGAAATGCTTTACTTTTTTACAGATATTGGGGGGAGCTTAATGTTTTCCCACTTTTCTCTCAGGTGTTTGTATTTGCTTACAAATAAGATATTACTTATTTACATAATGCTGCATTTTGTGTTATTAAATTTTGTTGCATGCGGTTTTGGAAACTTTTGAAATCTAGGTGTTTTGTTTTTTTTCCCCTCTGATGATATGATGTAACACATTGAGGGATAATAGTTGTACAAGAACAGAGCCACTTGTCTAAACGTAATCATGACAGTGATTCTTACTTTGGGGCTTGTGGTTCTTTTGGTTTTGAGAAATCAAGAAGTTAACTAAAATTAGGAAAGCATGGGCCAGGCACACTTGGAGAACAGTTCAGTGTTTACTTGCTGCCTCTGGTTAAGTTGCCATCTGAATATGTGGCTGTGGATTTGTGACAGACCTGTGGTGTGAATAACCCTGCACCCTTTCCATACACACAGCACCATCATCAGTGGATTTTAAACTGAGTCTAGACTTGCATACTTCCATGTTGAAAGCTCAGTTACTTCACACACACTGGACCCTCCCAGTAATATAATCACTTCAATACAGAATGTAACATGAGTATTGGCTCTTGGTTAGGATGGCAGAAATTAGGAAAGCTTAGTTATAATAGTTTTACCACAGTGCTTCATTATAAAAGGATGTT